AAGACAATCACCCTTTTCAGGCCGAAAAGTTCCAAAGTAGTTAATCATTTGATGACATGTTAGTACGTCCTTTTATACTCCTTGAATTCTTGCCAAATGCTTCATGCACGTTTCTCCACACAAGAGAGGCATCAGGAATGGACCAAAGGCTTTGAAACCTGCCACAGTGGTCATCCGTTTCAAGTAAGGGTTTTGCTTGCAATTCCTGCTGTAAATTTGCAATCCTCCTTTTTTTTCCCCCCTTCTATTTCAGTAGTTTTACCTAGGAATCTATTCGAAGAAAACCTCTTTTGAATTTATTTTCTGACAACCAAATCCTGAACAAGAAAATGGCTGCCCATGTCCAAAGTCTATGGAAAACAGAGGTAATTCTGCCTTGTCATGGTTATGCAGCAAACGATTTTCAAGATAAGTGTTAAAATATGAATTTTGATTGGTAAAATGTTGCAATCTCTATCTGGCATGCCTAGCTTATAAGAGGTCAAATTAGACTTCTTTGTTTTTGAATGCATATCAGTTGTATTGATATTTTCTCAAACATTCTCCAGGACGACTTGATGGAAAGCCTGATCTTTTGAGCCACTCTGAGCACTTGTAATGTGTTACATAGAGTTTTGATTCATTTTTTACATCTTAAGAGGGTTTGTCGTAACCATGAACAAAACCTAAGACACTGGATACTCAAGTCATTTTTCAGAAATAATCATGAAACTTTTCTTAATTGATAATCTCACAGTTTCACATAATCTACCTGTCTCCTAGTACTAGTTGTGCGATACATAGTACTAGTCGAGTGACACAATATGTAGAAACAGCGAAGATATTGTTTTAAAAGTTGTTGGCAATAAAAAGAACAGAGGATCAAAATCGACAAAGACATGTTACGTAATGTGGCAGATTCTATAATGTCCGGCTTCATGTGCTATGTAGGTTCATGTGAAAGTTACATGTTCATTGAATTGCAAAATCCTCCTGGTAATGTCCGGCTTCATGTGCTATGTAGGTTCATGTGAAAGTTACATGTTCATTGAATTGCAAAATCCTCCTGGAAACAGAGGTTGAGCTCTCTTTGGTCTCAATGTATGTGCTCACTGTGTTAAATTACAAGCATAGAGCAAAGTTTTTAAACAGTGTATTTTGGCAGGGTATGCGGTCGAGTTAAGCTGCCACATTTCTTCTGTTGCAGTGGGATTAAACCAAACCTGGGTGAACAGACTGGTTGAATGCCCCGTTCATCATCATCGTCGTCGTCGTCATCATTATTATTATTGATGTACGATTATGGACTGTCTTGAGCTGATTCTTATTTAAATTTTGTATTTCACCTTATGGAAGTTTAATGCCTCGCCCTTGAGGTTAATTCCATGAAAATACTATTCAGTACCAGTGGTGTCAGAGCACCCATTTAGGTGACTACGCTTGATAAATTCAATTAAATGAATCGTGTGATATTGCATTTAAGTGAATCTATCATTTAATGATACGAAGTTATCCCATAGATTGGTGCTTAAGTGCAGAGTGATATTACTCTAATTATCCTTTTTCCCACCCTTTGAGGTGATGCTGTTAATTTTAGCAAATTACATATTGACATCCCTAAATAAAATATCTTTGCAATTAATTTGAACTAATTTTCACAAGAAACGGACAATGCTCAATTTGTATCACCGGCAGGCATTAACAAAATGATGATGTAATTACAATTCTTCTATTCCTCTCTATCGTGG